TCTCTGACTACACCCCACCCTATAAAGGATTACATGGGTACATAAAGTATGAAAGTACTTCCACTTTTGTTCCACATCTTACCTTAACATTCTTCTTGATAATCTCTCTGCTCATCAGGACACGCCCCTCCGACAAGTCGATTCCAGACAAAGGTACGAGGGTCTCTCCAATGACCTCGTCGCGAGAGAACCGATCAAAGCTCAGGACCATGAAGTGAAGGGACAGCTCGGACACTCGAGCCAGTGGGATCCCGTAGAAGCTGAAGGTCTCATCGAAAGCCGGGTCCAGAGTCTTCCGAAGGACTCTTGTTTTCACCCTGTGCTTCTTCTCCGGCAGCAGGGTCAGCTTGATGTAGGGGTCAGACGTAAGTGACTGCTCATCGGTTGGAGTCAGACCATGGGCCTCCTGGAGAAAATGTATAGATGTTAAGACAAGATTTTAGCATGAAAACACTCAGAAAGTTCCCCTAAATAAATATGAATGTGTTACCTTGATGTGAACAATGAATGCCTTCCTCTCTTCCTGGTACTCAAGAGAGAAGTGGAGGGTCCCTAGACCACCCTCCTTTTCGTCTGCCTGAGGCCTGTCGACAGCTGAGGTGGGTGCCTGGCTCGACGGTGCGCTGGATGGGGAAGATAGGTCGCGCCGTTCCATCGCACCAGGTTGAGTGAAGCCTGTTTGTGGGGAGGGGAGCTCCAGGTCTGGGGAGCTGCGCACCGTCTGGTGGTGGTGGTGAAAAGGTTTGGTGGTAAAGTTTCCGTTCAGATCCCGCTTCTCAAGATCAAGGTGCAGGGCTGATCTGGAACCATTTGGAGTTGTGGCGGGTTTACCAGTACTGGGACTCATTGGCGTAGTTTGGCAGTTTCCATTGACATCTGTTTTGGCGGTGTCATTAGTTGTTGAGGTTGTGGCTGCCGCAAACTTCTTTTTGCCGCTCAGGCTCTCTGGGTAGATGTCCACGCCTTTAAGCATGTGCACAAACTTGTAAGGGGCGTCTTCTGGGACTTGGTGGTGTTTTTGCGCTGGCAACAGATCCAGGCAAAGGCTGATGCAGTGAAGACAAGGCCGAAAACACTCACCAGCAACACCCACAGGCACTGCCACTGTGGAGGAGTTTGGAGAAAGGCAGAGGAAGAAAAAATGAAGAAAGTGAAAAGAAAAGGGTAAAATTTAATAAGAAAACACACTTTGAAACAAAGCAGCATCTGCAACACGAGCCACTATGATTGTACTGTTGCACTAAAGCAGCTGAATAATTCTTCTTCTTCTGACACACCCTGCAGCCTGGAGTCAAATGAGGATGAAAACAATGCAATCTGTTCAACAAAGTGTTGTTTTTGTATTCCAGATTTGCTGGTAATACATGAACAGAAACTGCCAGAATCATAAATGGATGACCTGTGACTCCAGAGATACGAAAATAAAGATAATGGTTGCTCAGAGACATGTGTGAATTTCAACAGCTGGGAAGGTCATTTTATTTTACCCCACTGCCATTTTGTACTTTTGTTCTTTTGGTCATATCATAGCTGACATTTTCATGTATGAGACAGAGTAGCCTGACATTTGACCTGAGAAATTTATTAGACTTTTTTTGCACAGCTTTTTATTGCTTTCTCAGAATGAATGAGTCGCTGCTGGTTTTCTAAAATAGCAAAGGAAGATTTCACAATATGTCATTTGGAAATGATTATAGTCATTTATTTTCCTTCCACTCAAAAGCAGGGGTAATTTTGACAAAATGCTACAGGGCAAGATATTACCACAATTATAACCACAGTCATTTCTCTCAAAAGCCTTTATGTCTCACATGGTATCGCTATGGTGACGTTGAAGGGATATTTGTCGCTGTGTGCTTTCTTTGTTTTGTGTGGCTGAGCTCTGTCTCCAAGGCCGTCGCCCTCTCATGCAGCCAGATTTAATGGCTTGATTTCAAAAGAGAAAATGCAGTTCATTTCCCACAATTAGGAGGGCGACCCGGTGCAAAAGCACTCAGATTAACCCATCTAAAAAGAGAGATCAGATTGAGGCGCGGGGGTGGTGACCAATCACTCAGACGCTTGCCTTTTTCCTCTGCCTACAGCTAATGTGTTAGATCATTTATTCAGGTTTTTTTCACACATAATAGACGCCATGGCATGGTTAATGTGATATTAATGTGACAGTGCAGCTCAAACAAAATTATGACAATAAACAGCTTTTCATTCTACATTACACCTGTATTAATAGACTCTCCGGTGCCATATATATATATGTATATATGTGTGTGTGTGTGTGTGTAGAAAACTAAAGAGAGACCTTCTGGATAATTTAAATCGCACCACTTGTATTAATATTTGGCCTGTACTCCTGTGTGGGATGTTTTTTGAGGCTGTAATGACAGACAGATGGACGAAACACTGGGAGGGCTGTAATGCATGAGGACATAAAAAAATATATAAATAAAACAAGCTGTAATTTTCAGGTTGTACTTCTACTAGGAACACTCTAAATCTGTTAAATTCATAAAATCGAAATTGGTCGATTTTTTTTTTTTTTTTTACTTTCATTAAATAAAAAGTAAATATGCACTTTTATTAATACCGTCTGAAACATAACGAGTATTAATTTACCAAGGATAATAGGCAGCATTTAAAAAATATATGTTTGTAGATTTTTTTTAACATCGATTGACTTTAGAAATGTAATTTTCATTCATTTGTACATACTCAATTGTAGTCTAACTCAATAAATCATCTCAGTACACAATTAATGATTATAAAATTAGCTCTCAGTGTTTAAAAATGACGAAGTTTTAGTCAGGGATTAACGTGCATTTTAACTATTGTTAATTCACACCACAGACAGACTGACTCCATCATCAGGGTAAAGACTCACCGGGCTGCGCTCCGTCCTCCAGCATTGGGGCCATTATCGCTGTCCAAGGTGCTGAAAGCCTCAGTGTGTTGCCTCCTTAATTGTCTCACAGCGAGATCGATCTCGGGGTAAATCTCGTTCTGATTCCGTCTAACAATACAAAGGCTTGTTTTTGTTTCTTCTTCCCAGGGAGAAGGATGCTCTGTTCGCTCAGCTGCTGCTGTTACTCTTTGATGCGTGAGAGCGTCTCAGAGCGGCAACACCCCGCTCTCTCTCTCCTTCCGGCTGCTCGTTTTCTGGGTCTCTCTCCCATCTTCTGCTCGCATCCTCCCTCCGCCCCTCCCATTCCGCTGAGCTCATCAGTGCTGACGCAGTGGTGACGGAGGCTGGCTGCGCAATCAGAACCCCCGGTGAAACGGCACAAAGAGCCTGCCAATGGCGCCTGATTGATTTTTAGGAAATGAGCGCTGTCAACCTGTTTCAGCATCCTTCGCTTCCTGTATGTCGGTTTGTCTGTTTTGCTGAGATAGGACGGAAATAAGACATTTCCTGATATGTGTTTATCTAGTCACTGAGCTTCTAATTTGGAATTATCCAATTGTATGTAAGCTAAAAATCCAACTTCATTCAAACACTTACTTGCTTAAGTGTATTCGTATTTGATCTGGCACATGCAAATATGAGCTGTCTCCCATTTTTGCTTCAACTCACTGGCATCCCATACATTTCAGGATTAATTGTCCAAGTTATTTTTATAATGTTTCTTCTGACCTTACCTGTCTGAGCTGCTGCACCATGATACAACCCTCAGCTCACTCTGGCCCCCTGATCAGATGCTCCTGATTGTGCCTGAAAGAAAAGGGAAACTTAGAGAGGCCTGAGCTTGTGCTGTGGCAGGTCATCATTTTTCATGCTACATATAGCAATTGTATTATGTGGTTGTTGTTTTTTTTGTTTTGTTTTGTTTTTCAACTTCATGGCTGGTTTAAAAGTATTTTGTGTTTTAGTATTATATATGTGTCCTTAAAATGGCATTTATAATGTTTATTTTGCAAAGCAATTTTGTCCTTTTAAGTTAAGGTGCTTTTGAAATAAAGTTGAACACCAGATTTTTTATTTCGAAGTGTATTTACATCAATGTCTTATATTTTATCCTTTCAGGTTCAGAGGATAAAATATTGGCTAGGTTTTGTATCCACTATGATGAGCTATTTAGTCATTTTCTGCTTCTATTTTATACCTTTAAAAAAAAACACCCATGAACTTAAATCATAACACACAGTTTATTCTCCACTGTATGCCATTGTTGATATTGAGTGTGGTCCCTGCTTCTGACTATGTTACAAAAATGTTCAAGTTCTAATTTAATAAAATACTGCCCCTTGGTGTTCATGGGAAAAAATGCAGGAATGTTAAGAGGCTGCACATTTAAACTTTGTGTCAAAAATTCTGAGCCAGTTTTTCTGTGTGGAGTTTTCATGTTCTTGTGCACAGGTGGGTTCTATCCAAATACTCAAGCCACCATTCAAAAACAGGCATAATATTTTGACTTGTGTGGGAAATAACAGGTAATAAATTGCCTGTTATTCAGATATCACTGGAGATGCCAAAATCCTTTAGTTCATATTTTCATCTGTTAACATTATTACACATTGTTGCGAAATTACCATTCATTTGTCAAGGTCAGAGGTCACTCTTACTTCTAAATTTATCTCCTGTATATCTCTTTCTTGTCCTATAAGCTGAATCATCCACAGCCTTGTTCTGATTTTAAAAACTCTCTGTCTGAAGAAAGGTTGATATTTTAAGGAATAATTGCAATTAAAGTTAAGATTAGATGCAACCTACTTTTTTATTTGCCTGAATTTTAATTACTTTGGATTAATATAAACTGGATCAAAATGAACTTTACCTTGCTGGATTTGATGTAAAAGTGACGATTGTGTCTACAAATTATTAATGGATTGTATTTGATTGTGTGCATTTTTGTGAGTGTTCAGCTTTACTTTAAGCTGAAATGTTATGTAATATGGAAACGGAAAGTAACTGAGAAAAGAGGAACGATAACCAGCTGTATGCACATATGTTTTATTAAGCTGAAGTAGAAGGGCTGATCACACATAACTTGCAGGGAGAGAAAGGAAATAAAGGATCATTTTTACCATTCCTTCTGTTAAGTGACTCTATAATCAGGTAAGATATTTTCTTCTTTCAAAGATTAAATTGTTTAATTTATTATTATTTTTTATATGCCATGGAAATGTATTTATTATTATCTTTTACAGATATAAAAAAAAGAATGGTTGGATTCCCATTCATCAAATCTGTGTTCCTGATCCTACCGCTGTTGTGTTTGGTTTGCAATGCAGATATACCGTTATTAAAAAGAGGTCTGGTAAGTTCTCTTTTGGGGTTAACCATTGTTCTCCAAGCAAAATCATACACTCATTTGTATTTTCATTATGATTTTTATGTGCAGTAATTACAACAATCTTTCTTTGTGGTACATTTCAGGTCAAAACAATGGACAACCTTCAAATAATGTTAGAGTCAGCTGTTCAAGGCCAAGTGAATATAAATTTATTAATTGTTGGCAGATTCTGGATGTTATTTTAATAGTGTAAAGTTTGACTTCCTGTTGTGATTTATAATTTTTTTTATTTTCTCCTTCAGAAAGAAGAACAAGACAGAATCGAAGCAATGTCAAAACTTTTGGATGAAGCAAAGTATTTGACAAATATGGAACAATTGGTATGTATGTTTTGATTAACATTTTTGGGCAGAATCAAATATATTCTTTCTTAGTACTTTCATATTTCATATTTTCTTTTAGTTTTTATATGATTTAATGTCATTTGTTGTGCATTGCCATACTAATGTATGTATTTGGTCAATTTCAGAAAATATTCTTGCAGGACCTTCAGGAAGCTGCAGATGAAGCTCGTGAATACAAGGTAGTTCTTTTGCCACTTAAATAGATCAAAACTTAATTTGTGGTGAAAAAAAGCAATTTTTTAAAATTGTGTTGATGCTTTGTAAATTTTTTTTTCTTCCCAAAGACGCTTGTAAAGTCCAGCCTTGAAATTCTCAGCAAAGTCCATGAAGAGAACATGAAAGTACTTCATCCTGAACTTCAACAAATGAAAATGTCACAGGATCCATCAGTTTATCAAACTTTTCTTGCATTTGAAAGCCTTAAAAAAACAGTGATGACTTACTTAGACCTAAAGGACAAAGTTTTTAGTGGAGGAGCAAAAGATACTGCAAAAAATCTGCATTATGTTTTGAATGTTTTAAGATCACAAGAACTTGATGATGGACTGTAAAAGTTTGATCTCTGTTGTGATTTTTATCTGTGCCGAGAAGCTTCAAATTTAGTTTAGTCATTCTTTTCCATTGTTGGGGTGATTCTTAGTAATATATCTAAAATGATAAGATAAACTTTTGTTTTCAAACATTATTAATAATAAAGCTTTTGCTTTCATTACTGAATGAATTATGTTGATTTTCCTAATGAGTCTACAATTAATAAAAAATGTTTCCATCAAACTGGTCTTATGTGAAGTATTGTGTTGTTCCTGACTGCATATTTGTATTTTTCAGAAAAACTTAGTGCAGCACAGATTCATATCTTTCTATTTAAGGAAATGAGTCTGCTGCTACAGACAAGCTGGTTACATTTTAAATGTGCCAGACAAGAGACTCCAGTGAACAACAGTGAATTAATTTACGCAATTGATGAAAACCTGAGTTAAGCGTCTCTCCAGTAGAGGTGTGGTTAAATCATCTCTGATGACTCTCTGACAACTCAAAAGTGGAAGTAAAGCTAAACCGTTTGTTTAAATTCTGAATGTAACAGAATAATTCACCAAGTCTGACCGGCTTCTTCTTCTGTGCTGAAGAAAAGCATCCACACTGCACGATGCTTCAACCACTATATTTCACATTGCCCTGGTCAATCACATAACATCCCAGCAATGTTGGCAAAAAAACAAAAAATGTCAACAGATGCATACATTGGCAAGGTACTGTACACAAACAGTGTTAGTAGCAGCAGCAGCATCGTCTGAAAACAGATTTGTGGTGTCTGGTTTCAAGGCCACCAACAGTCTGACAGATCAACTGATTCTGGTCTGCAGAGGAATTTTTTTTACAAAGGTCAGATGACAAAAATGTTCATTGTTTTACTTTCTGTGCTTGGCAGAACAGTGTGATGAAAAATCAAACAAGTTTAGTTTTGATCTGAACGACTGTAGCTTTAGTTGCATGTTAAGCATTGTCCGATCAATCTGCCAGCTTAGTTTTAGGAGCTAGTACTCTTATTTCTTGTTGAAAAGTTTCTTTAGTTTATTTTAGATTTGTTTTATGTCACGTGTAGCACTAGAAACTACACCAAAAGTACTTAGTAAGATTTTGTGTTTTTGCATAAAGGCATTAGCTGGCACTGTTTCTGCTTTCAGGATTGTGACACATTTCTTTTTCATTTGATGTTTCCTTCGATGTTTCACAAAAAAATTCTGGGTATATTCCAGAATCGGAAAAAGGCTGGGTCAGACCCAGACGCAGAGCTGTGTGCTCCAATCAATTCAGACACAAGCAGCCCTGGCTGGGGGAGGAGACAAGAAGAGTATTAAAATCATCTTAGAGTCCAAGTACTCTTATTCAACACCTTCATACGACAACTTAAGGTATGTCATAGAAATCCACTCTGTAATGTTGAGTGTTGAGAAGATATCTATATTCTATTTGCCACAATATATGTATACTGTATATCTATATCAACAGTATATATGGTGTGATGCGAGCAGCAGTCATGTTCAGAAACAGGAAAGTGGTTCATGTCAGGAGACTGGTCTTCATTTTTACTCTGCTGGGTCTGCTCTGCCCTGCAAATTCATGGATAGACATGGACCAGCTGGTAACATGTTTTCTTTGTCTTGTTTCATATGTTTCAACAAATGCATGCATTCCTTGTAATCTTGCAATATTCACTTTGGATTTGCAGAGAGAGATGAAAGAGAATGTTGAGCTGCTGAAACGAGAAGCAATGAGGAGAAGCGTGAGTAAGACACACAAAGTAAATCTCTTTGTTTAGATTCCTACAGCAACAAACTCATGTGTTATTTTTCAGGTTGATAACGTGGTAGAAATGATCTTCAGTCCTTTGGTTCTTGAGAAGTCAAGACGACTACTGGATTGTTCCAATAAGATGCTCGGGAATGGGAGGCGCAAATTTCCAGAAATTGCTCAAAGCATCCAGAGTGTAAAGGATTTGGTGTTGGCTTCCAAACGTTTTGTGCATAAAGCCCTTCAAAATCAGGCTGAAAAAATCAAAGACTATAAAAATAAAATATCACAACTGGAAAGAATTATGATGAACCTGAAAGAGAGGAAATCTGAGCTGTAAAGCTCTTCTTAGTGATTCTGAATATAGAATTCCCCACTGAAATAAATAACTTTTTGTGATTTGAAAATGTCTTGCCATATTAAATATTTCTAAAATCTTTGACTACTGTTCCTGCCTGTTTTCTTGTTTACACACACATATCAAAAGAAACAAGTAAAACTATACAGTGCATTTATCACACCCAATAATTCTGTGGAATGTTCTTGTTGAATTTTACGTGATCCACAAAATCAGGTTTTATTGTTTCAGTGTTTGCTCCATAGAAGGTTTCTTCTGTTTTTTTTTTCTTTCCTTCCACAATTTAATGTTTTACAATCTGACAAATATAATTCATATAATCAATAAATAACCGAAATAGAATCTGTCTAACATGGAGTTGATTATCTAGAAAAGCAAATATTAAATTACACTTGAATGCATTTCCCACCTGTATTCTGTGTCCGAGATAATCATATTTGTACGCAGAATGTTCACATTAGCCTACAACACAATAAAAAAGAGTGTTGTTATCCTGGTTGGAGCTAGTAATAGAAAAAACAGTCTTGTACTAACTTGGGCTGGAAGACCACTCAGAGAGGAAGAAGCAATTTCCCCAAATGTCAAATAAAAAGTCTGATCACAGATGCAAAAGCTCTCAGGGTCAGAGATATGATAAGGTTATCTGCAGGAGGGACTGGTGCACTCACACAACAGAAGAACTTCATTAGCAGAAGGACAATAAAAACCCTAAATTTTTCCAGAATGTAGAAACTGATGTTATTTCCAGTAGCAATGGTTTTGTCTTATTTAATGTCAGAGGGTTAAAAAAAATACATCTTTTTACAACTGTATTTAAGAAGAACTTAGTCTGTACTTTAAAACAAGTCCTTCTCAGTGCTTTAAGATATTAGTTTGAAGTATCAACTATCATTTCTCTGCAGCCTAACTTGAAAAATGAAACTTGACAGTTTTGTGTGGTTATAAACACAAAACATGCTGGGACAAATGTGAAACTGTAAGGAGAGGAAGTAACTCCAAGAGGATATAAAAATGGTCGCGTTATTCCATCCAGTTCAGTTTCTCGTTGAAGAAGTGTGACATTTCAGGTAAGTGTAAAATACAATACTACACCTCTATTACAACTACAAATTTTAACAATTTTATCTATTTTAAATTTACCTTCGAAACAGAGATGGCAGTGATACTTTGTATCGGAAACAGAGGAGCGTTTGGCACCAGAACCATTAAAGGCTTGTTCCTCGTTTTTATTCTGCTGAGCCTCTTTGCTCCACAAGATCACAGTTTGACAAACAGCAGGTACATAATGTTTTGACTAACCTGGATATAGAAAAAAGTTCAATACTTACATTTTTGATGCAGTCTACTTCAACAACTTAACTAAATATATATTTTCACTGTTGATTTGCAGACTGAACTCCGTGAAACAATTCGAAACACAGAATCACTCTTTGTGAACCTGAAGGTGAGTCATAATGTTTTTATGCTTGAAAGTAATTTCATTCTTTTACTTTACAAGACAGTGGAAGAACTGACTATTTTGTGCCACAGCTAAAAAAAAAATAATAATCATGAAACTCAGTTTGTTTTTGAAAGATTTCGGTTGTATTTTTGGTCAATGACACTAAATCAGATTTGTTCGATGTTCATGCTGCAATACATAAAATTGAAGGTGCTATAAATTGTGTAATCATAATTTTTAAGATCTTAATCTTGATGTGCTAAATGATAAATCTTTTTTTTTTTCTCATCAGAGTGAGGAGTTCCATATTGAAGATTATCCTCTACTAATAGAAGAAATCAATCAGAAAATAAGAGAAACGTGGGATTTTCTCAAGATTCAGGAAGAGGAGCAGGCTAAACTATAACAGAATAACAGCATCATTTAGCCTTTTGTACTGTATTTGTAAAATCATCCCAAATTATGTCTTAATAATTCTATCTTATTGACTCTCACTCTATCACTTATGATCAAAATAAATCGAGTGGACCTGTGGAGGTTTGAATGATGTCACCAGATGTTTTGTGGCTTGTTGGTCTCTGGAGTCTAAACCACCAGAAGTTCCTTCATTTTCAATCTGATGACTGATATCTGGACATTTTGTGGTTATGGTCATGTGACAAAAGTGCCCATAGTTGTACTTTCTGTATAAGACAAAAGAATGTCAAAAATATTGAATGCCACATTTTAACATTGTAACATTATGACAAATATTCTGAGAAAAATAGGAAATAACTAAACCTTTTTGATTCTGTTTTAAATTAGTATCTCAAAGTGCATAGGACGAGTTTGTGTGACCATTTTTCTTTCCAAGGCAGCACTGCCATCTACTGGTGGTGCATCTATCGCTTGTTCTAATTTCCCACATTTCTTTTTAGATATTGTGACAGAACAAATAAGAAGCACTCTGTACTTTTACTCCACATGTTCCTAAGAGCATAACTTGAAACATTATTGAAAATGAAAGCTGATGGTCTGTGAGGCTGTGAGGTCCCAGTTGTTGTTTAAGTCAAACCATTATCACATGCCACAGCAACTGTTTATAGCAGAAACAAAAGAAAAATAGTTTCAAACTGAAACTGCTGAGGCATTATTCATTTATTAGTTCTCACTTTAGCGCGAGCTCCTCTTTTCAACAGCATATAATACTTGTTACAGTTCATTTTAAATTCAGGTAGTTTAATTAATACACATATGGTTTCAGATGTATATATGACTCAGCTGATATACCTTAAAGTGAAATTATTTTAATTTGTGGGTGAACTGATTTAAGGAATCACAGCCACAGCAACTATATCTTATGTCAGACCCACTGAAGGATTGTTTATTATGTTCAATACAGATCGGCACCTTTATAATTAACAAAAATTACCTGGAGAACAATTACCACCTCTAAAGCAATCCATCATTTTTATCATGTGTTGACTTTATTAAACAATTGTCAAGTTGTTTTTGTAACTTACAGGCTTAAGTTTTGGTAAATCATATAAGGATATGAAAGCCACATGACAAAAGCTTTTACAAATTTTTAAAACTTTTGCTGCAGTTGTATTTCTAGGTACTTTCCAACATGATCCTGTAAGCTCGACTTATTTCCTGAATTGTTTTATGCCCTTTGTGTTTTATAAAGTTTTCAACACTATCTTTAGCAGAAGGTCAAAGTATTAAAATACACAAATGAGAAAGGAAAAACGATTTGTGTTAAATGTATGAAAGATTGGCGCTACTTACCAACCAAAGAGGATGCACTCTATTATACTGTATGATAAAGAACATAAGAGGCATAATGATGATAATTTTACAGTGTCACATCATTTGTTGTTTGTTTTAAGATTAAATTATATAATTTTATTTTAGAAGGTAAAATTATCCACTTAAAAAAAATCTGTCTTAAAGAGAACAAGTCAGTTCATACAGTCAGTTGTTTTCAAAGCAACACTGCCACCTATTGTTGTTGTTGTAAGAAGTAGGTGCACATTTCTCTTGTTCTGAAGCCTTAGCATTGTTTCATGTTTTTTGGGGGTTTTTTTTATCACCTTCCCCTCAAAAAAATGCTGTGAGCTTAACATGAGCAACTTCCTCAGTTTACAGGCTGGTAATATACAATTGGATCCTGCCTAGTTTTTCACAGTAGACGTTTAGATAAGTAGCTCTTTTCATAGACATTTCTTTTCTGGGAAAGGAAAACTTAGGGTTTTCTAAATAAATGTTTCTTGAAAACAGGCCAAAAGCTAAAATATGGATTTAAAACTGATTTATGTGCATTTATTATCATATATTCCTTTATTCATTAGTTATCTATTAATTAATTTATTAATAGATAAATTGATTTATCTATTAATAAATTAATAGATTAATCTACTAATTAAACTAATTGATTACTAGATTAATTAGATTAATATATCTATTAACTTATTAATAGATTAATCTATCAATAGATTAATCTAAGTCTTGCCAAGTCAATTAATAAAATTAATAGACTTGGCAAGACTTAGCAGAGTTGGCAAAAACATGGAACATACTGAATAACTTGACATAATATTGAAAATGAAAGCTGAGCGGTCAGTGATGTCATAGTTTTTTTTCCAAAGAGGAATGTCCCTGTTGGTGTTGGCATAACAGCATCATCACATGCCACAGTCCAAGAACCAAGACCCAAGAGGCATCATTCATTTCTCTGTGTTCGCCTTAACAGCAGCTCCTCCTCTCAAACAGCAGGTAAGATCTGTAACATTTTTAATTCAGATAAGCTTAAATATTCTACTAAAAACAGACATGCTTTCAGGTTGAACTCATACTAAAAAGAGTAAAATTATTTTAGAGTCCTGGTTGTTTTGATTCCAGGAATTATGGCTGCAGCAGCTGTCAAAGGATTGTTCCTCATCTTCTCTCTTCTGGCTCTGGTTTCTGTTATCAACTCAATGATCAGCAAAAGTCACTGGTAAGTCATTTTCGCTTTAATTTTCTTTCACACCTGAAATAATTAATCTCCATCTTTCAAGTGGAGCTTTTGAAATGTCTAATTAGAGATAAAATAGAGTGCGTTTTTGTTTTAGTTTTGTTTTTAAAGACTGGTAATTGGGCTCTTTTAATAGGAAATATATAATTTTATGAACTCATTGATAGGTAGTGTTATAGTCCAAGTTATTTACAAATCATTTATTTCTATTTATTTGTTTTTAATTTCATAATCTTACAGTTATGGCAGTAACTCTTCAAACAGAGAGCTGTTTAAAGAGCATATCTGAAACTCAGATATGCTGTTACAATGTTACCCATCTCATGTAAACCCTTATTTCCGAACATTTCAGAAAATAATTCAGGAATACTACGAGGGTGGACTGATGGATGCAGCTGATAAGAAGGTGAGTTAAAGCTTTTCTTCTATCATTTATTTAGTAAAGTTTATTGTTAAGGTCAATGTAGTGGGTAGAGGAAAATTAAAAGATGTAACAAGCACACTGCACAGAATATCTGACGAAGATGTTTTTTCTTTTTAAAA